CGTGATCTGAATGTTGGTTGGGATAGAGAACTCTCTCTTAAACTACTCAAGTTTTTCTAGGATGTTTACCCTCCACCTAAACATACCCATTATCTCGGCAAGAAGGGGTTGGACAACAAATTTGTTTTGGTAAAGGTTTGAAAACCTCGGCTAGAACCTAAGTGGAACTAGGGTAAGGATATTTTGTTGCCTAATTGAGTTTCGATTTTCCTAGGTATGTGATTTCTATCAAATCCCAAACCTATGAACTGTGCAAATGAACAAAGATTCGAAGACAGAAATCTGGAAACAGAGCAAGAAAACCAGGGAACAATCTTAATTCAGAAATTCAGAATGAGGCAGAAAACAAGAAAACATATGTGCACACCAAGTGCAAGCAAAATCAGTGAGCATTGGGTGAGTGTGCACAAGGCATTATGCAAAAACCATAAGCAATACGATGCATATAACAGATTCAAGAACAAGAACTAAGGTGAAATGTTTCAAACATGGCAAAACAGAATCAGAGGATGAGTAAGGAGATCGAACAACAAGAGACATACGAGTAGTTGCATAACAATAACATATTCAAGAACAGTGAAAGACTGAAATTGGAGAGAAGAAATCAGAGACTTACCAAGTAAAACCAAGGAAATGATGCCAGAGAGATGCTCGTCGGAGTCTGATGATGACAATCTTGAAAACAAAGTAATGAATACTTCACCGGAAGTGGTGAATGGTGTGGTTACAGAGCTTGAGAACTTGAAAATGGAGGTTTGGAAGAGAAATGTTAGAGAGAGAGAGAGAGAGAGAGAGTCTGAGAGACGAGGGAAATTGTGAATTCAAAAGTGAAAAGACGGAAAGAGAAAGAAGTGTTTTGTCAAATATACAAAAAGGTGGCAAAACATAATGGGATGCCTTGGACGACGTGCTTGTCAAGCGGCATGTGCAGAAGCAACACAACCTGATAGCGCGTGTCAGGTACAAACCAATGAGAAAAAGGCGCGTGGAGGAAACGGTTGAGAAAACCATGCATGACAGCTTATACGCAGTCAAAACTCTTGGAGTTCTTGATTAATGAAGCAAAAACCTCGGCTAGAGGAGTGATCTCAGTTGAGATATTAAAAGAACTTGACTCTTGGTTCTTGATCATTGACAAAAATGGACAATTGAGTCCTAGGAACTTGAAACCGACGAGTCATGATCTCAGTCGAAGGAAAGAATGAATTTTAGCCAACATAATATATGAATATGTGGTGTAGGTTCCATCACCTCAGGTTGCTGAGGTGATATAACCCAGGGGGTAGTTGTGGGGACATATTTTTTGAATGATAGCATGTGGCCAAAGTGACGCCAAAGTGTCAACCGAAGTGTCACGTGTCCTGGTCCTGATGCCAAGGTGATCTCGGCTAAGCCGAAGTTATCTGCAGAGATACCAGAATCCGAGATGAGTGGATAGGGGACAAGAGTCTTATAATAAGGGAGGATATCAGTTTGGATGAAGATAATAAAGTTCTTAAGGAGTTTATCCCTATCTCGCTGAGAGTCCAAGATAAGCATTGAGCCTGAGTCCATTCAAGTAAGGCTTCTACAAGGATCAGGTCAATGCTGGCTATAAAACAGGGCAACCCCGTGGGTCTGAGGTATATATGATATACTATGGGCAGTAAGTGTTTTCTTGAGAATTAAGCACAATTTGCTATCTTTGAGAGATATTTGATTACTGACTTGATCGTCAGAGTGCCCCCAGGTGGACGAACCACTGTCGGATTCTTATCTTTCTGTGACAGGTTGTTTGGGTTTAATCTATTTTGCTGATGCTCTCTAGCTGAGTTTGGTTGTGTGGTTGTATGGTCAAAAATTAACATGCACACGTACGACTTTTCTCAATGTGAATAGCCTCTAAACACAGTATGGATGACAATTCCTCCATAGTTATAGCATCCAATCGTGCTCTAATAGTAATTTTGAACGGATTATATTCTTCAGGTAATCCATTCAAAGCTAACAGAACTAAATCTTCATCCTTGAGAGGGGTAGACACCAAAGCAATCTGATCAGAAATGATTTTGAATTGCTCCAAATACTCTTCCATTGACTGAGATTTCTTTGAGAGAGTCTAAAGCTTGTTCTTGAGTCGATGGATATCCGATCTTGACATCACAATAAATTGTTTTTCCAAAGCAATCCACAATTCATTGCTATACTTCATATGCAATACTAAAGAGAACACAGATGGAGACAGAGTTGACGTTAAGCAACTTAGAAGATGTGCATCGATGATCTTCTATTTGCTGAACTTTAGATTTGGAGCTGATCTATTATTTGCATTAAGAACTAAAGCCAGAGGACATGGAATTGATCCATCAATATAGCCTAAGAATTTTGTTTCTCTGAATAGATTGTGAACTTGATTCTTCCATATGATGAAGTTTGAAGCATCAAGTTTCACTATGACTAACGAGTTTAGATTCATAAGAAGAAGAGTAAGATTTGGAGGAAGAGAACTTGATGATGACGAAGAAACCATTTTTGCACGTTAGAGATCTCTATGCTCTAATACCATGAAAAAAAAAATGAATTTCTTTATCATTTCACACTGAACATTGTTTACAACTCTGGTATATATACATTCTAGTTATACAATCAATATATCTATCAATCTAACAATCTAACCTCCTAACAAACTATCTGCTTAACAAGTATTTGTTGCTCAGATATTTTCTTTGCTTTGCTCAGCTGAGTGCTAGCACGTGTCTTAGGGTAAAGCATAGACTGCAACCTTGCTTGTCGTTCAACCTTGAGCTGTGACTGATCTTGGTCTACTTTTGACTTTAGCTACAGCTCTAATATCTTCTCTTTATCAATATTCACTGTAGAAAGTAATTCAAAACTAATAGTTTTAATTTTTAAAAATAAGCAATTTTTTACTTAGATATGCTAGAAGCTTCCAATTCGATTCCAAACACATTAGAGAAGTTGTGTAATTCAAATTAAAACATTGATTTGTTGCTCTAATAGGTGCATCAATAACGCTATGGTAACAGAGGTAATTAATCAAGTTGTGATTGTTTTTTCAAGAGGTATTATACAAATTCTCTTTGACTAAAAGAGTTACATATATATCCCACATCTTTCCCCCCCCCTAAAAAAAAGGGGAGTTACCTATTAAACCAGCATTATGGTCCTTGAAGGTATTGTGCATATCTACAAGAGACCCTAGTTGTGTTTTTAAGTAGTATTATACCATACGAGTGTGGGTATTGATTTTTGACTTTACAACCAAATTAGATCTCCTAGTTGAGATGTAAGGAACTTAGCCGTGGAGTGTACGGAAGAATAGAGAAACCCAATACTTGCACACAAGAAGACAACAAACCACGGTGGTTCGTCCACCCGGAGGCACTCTGATGATCAAGTCAGTCAACTTATCTCTCAAAGATAACAACTTAATCATAGTACTCACAAAGTAAAAATATACCTTAAACCCACAGCGGAGCCTTTCTTTTATAATGAACAGTGCCCTCATCCCCTAGAAGTTTTACTTCATAGGACTTTATCCCTTATAAGGATATCATTTATCAAGATTCCACATATTTAAATTAGAACAAACTCCTTTAAGAGTCCATCATTACCCAAACAGGTAACCTAATACTCTCAGTCTTCATTTGGACATTTCGGACTCCGGTATGATTGCATCACACATCGGCAATCCAAGACCACCCACGTGGCACCTCGGCTAAACACCTAGGCCACGTGGACAACCCAAAAATATATCCCCACTACAAGTTATTGTGAGCATGAGGATTATGTCATGTGTAAATTGAATGTCACTTTGATGACATTCATTTGCTTTTCGTTGGACACACCCCATCCCATCTAGTCTTACATTTTTGTCATTCCACAATGAGGTTTTGGAGCTTGGAAGGTTTGGTGTACTCAATCAACATATGAATAGAATGTGCAATATAGTTACTTGAAGACTTGTTCAATCATGCAAACAAAAGTATACAAATTTAAGAGACTATAGTGCAAGAATATGGCTTCTTTTTCACTTTACCTTTTTTTTTCTTTTTTTTTTTTCTTTTCTCCTTTTGATCTTTGTTTTCCTCTTTGTAATGTTTGTACTATGCATGTCCCTACATCCAAAGTGTACAAAAACATGTCAAGAGAGAAAATGTTAGGCCAGGCGAATTAATTCCCAATACACATTCCACTCACCATTACTAATTAACATGCTCAACTCCTAAGTTAGTCAATTTTTAATTGGGTCTAGGTCAAGATCCCAAAAGAAAGGATAAGATTTTTTTGATCAGCGAAAAGAAATCTTTATTAATAAATAGAAAAAAAAAAAAACAAGAACAACAAGAACAAGTAAGAGCGAAAAATTGCATCAACAATATTGTTGGTACAATTATAATTTTGTACAAACTTGTGTGTTGTCAATACAATATTGTAAATTATTATTTAGTTTCAAATTATTTATTTATTTATTTATTTTTTCCTAATGCTGTCTTGACAACATAACACATTTTGCGCAAAAACCATGCCTGCAATATGATGTTTTTGGGTTACATTGATCACGAGACTTGACTACAAGAATTTTCACTTTCGGCGACATGATTACCTACATGTTTCTAAATTTTTTGTGCTCATATTTTAAATGATATTTTAATCGCTTGAGATTTCGTATTTTGAAATTTTCAATACTAGTATATGACATAATAGAAATTTTGGAAACAAAATCCATGCATGCCACACTATAGCTTACTGCTGTTATAGTAGTTAGCAACCAAAATTAAATCACCAATAGTTTTGATAGAGTAAAAAATGGTTAAAAATCATCGAAAAACATAAACACCTTTCGTGGGTGGGGATGAAATGAAGACTTTTAGGCACTTCCTCAGTTTCTTGCATGCTAATCTTGTTATAAACAACTTTGCATAGATGATTAAAATAAAATAAAAAAAGCTACATAATTTTATTTTAAGTAGTGGGCTTAGCCTACGTATAATCTATAGTTTTGCCAATGAAATTCTCTTTCATATGCAGTTTAAAAAAGACAACCACCACAAGAGAGAAGGAACATTGCAATAATGGAGTTCTAAAGGGCCTCTTGCTTTGTCCCCACTAGTCACCCCTTTTGCATCAAAAATAAAAGCCACCATTTTAAAGGAAACAACTTTCAGAGTTCAAAAGAATATGCATGGATCTCCTCCACCACTTGATTAGTTTTTCTACGCACAACTTTTAGGCTTTAGCTCCCAAGCACTCAATACCTCCTTTTCCTGTCTGCAAAGTTTGCCATTACTAAAATCTCCTTCCTTCTTCCCCCAATATCGATCCCACTTCATTACCAACTTTATGTTTATTCTCGAGTTAATTACATGAACACCCTCCCAATTATATCATTGAATATCATTTTATTCTCTCAATTATAAAATTACCCCCCTACAATGAGAGTATTTTGTATATTTTCATAAAATGATATTTTCAATGATAATTGAGACAGTATTTGTGTAATTAACCTTTTATTCTTCTGAGAAAATATGTAGAGTCCATAAAATTCCCGTATGATCAAATCCACCCATTCACTGATGATGAGTGGCAGATGGATTGAGCACCAACTCCCAAGAAATCCCTTGTTTCCCCTCCAACAGAATTATTACTACTATCTTCATTTTGTATGTTTCGCCACTTTGAGGGGTAATTTTGCAACTGATTAAATGTAGAGAGATCATTCAGTGAGCTCTCTACATCACTTCTATTTCCATGGCTAGTTTTTATTGGGTTTGTCGTACCGTACAATCCACACAACTTATTTCCATCTTGAACTTGATTGTTACTGCTACACTTCAACCCAAAGCTTCCAAGGAATGATGGGTCAGTAGAAGTTGCACCGATTTGTGCAGCTTTCTGCAACAAAGCAGTTGCGGAAATATTTGGCAAAAGTGTTTGATGAGAATGGTGTTGGGTGCTGTACAATGAAGGAACACTAACAAGCTGATCCTTAAAATTGCTCAAAGGAAGTGAAGTGCTTGTTAGTTCTTCTTCACCATTTTTGGAAGAAAGCTTATTTCCAAGTACCCAATTCAACTGATAATCGGTAGGTGGAGGATTTGAACATGAAACAAGCGGATCACCATAAAGTGTTGATGAACTTAATGATCCAATTTGATGATTCTGTTGAAGATTGTTGCCCATTGCTTCATGACCTTGGGTTCCTTGGGCCATCCACAGCGAGAATCCCCACTTTGGTGGATCGGTAATTTCATCATTGTTGTTTAAGGTTGTTGGCTTGAAAATCGAAGAGAAATGTACTAGGTCAGGTCCTATTGGACTTGGGGCTCCAGTGACATGATAATTGATGTCGCTAAACATTGTGTTGTTGATGTTTGATGTTGCGGTAACTCTAGCTGTTTCTTCAGCCAAAGCATCACAAAAGGCCCTATGAGTGATGAAGCTATCTCGCCTGCTCATCGTAAAACAAGAAACTAATCATGAGTATATTCACATAGGAGAGTAATACCAAAACGTTGACAAAAAATCGGTTGCATATATCATTTCTCAATTTATAAATAATTAATCAGTTAAAAAAGAATACCATATGAGGATTAAAGTAACATAGTGGAAGCATTCAAGACATAATAAAAAGTAAACATAAATTGCTAGAAGAAAAGATCATATATCTGTAAAAATATGAACTTCGATTTAGGCTAATGGATGAATATTAAATGCAACAATGAGAATGTGCAATTGATCCCTAGGCCTAGCCATAAAATCTAGAAAAATAACAAAAAGAAGACCATTATTATTCAAATAAGGCATGATCACTGATTACAAGATGAGATAAACTAATGTAAGAAAATATTTCAAATCATGGAAATCAACAATTTATTTATTTATAACAAACTATATAATCTTGTCTTCACTATGATCTACCTTTCTTTTTTATTCTAAAATCCACAAGAAGCAAGAGAGAGAGAGAGAGGTTTTCTAGTGTCTTGATATAGACAAAAATACCGCAATCACTGAAAAAACACTTACAGGCTTCATTAGCCTCCTTAATCTGCTTCTTTTGAGCTGTTCTACTCCGACAATTCAAATTTGCTCTAAAATTTTGATAGAGTAGGAGCAATTACCTCAAAAATACAGTCCCACAGTCACATTTGTATTCCCTAGTGCCACAGGTTTTTGAGTGTGCCTTCCAATCTGATTGCACAGCATATCGCTTTGAGCACTTCTCGCACTTCCACTTCTTCTCTCCATGCTTTCGACAAAAGTGCTTCTTTATACCAGTTAGGTCACCGAGAGCCCTTGAAGGGTGGTGATGGACACAAGTTTTTTCAGGGCACACGTAAACACGCTTCCTCGGTTCCTTGCTAGTTCTCTGCTTGAGCTTCCATGGTAGGTTATGTCCCCTTAGATGCAATTGCAAGTTTTGATCCCTTTGAAACCCCTTCCCACATATCTCACACAGGAATCTGTTGGTGGCCATGAGAGTTTTGGGTGATAAGGCGATGACTTCGGCTTCAGGATCTGTACAGTTTGATACCCAATATCCATATGTCAAATTATCTAACCATTAAATTTTTTTTTGATCGGCAAATTATCTAACCATTAAATTAATCATGTGTATCCATGACTATACATGTTCCATAAAGTTAGCTAGACAGCAAAACAATAGGTATACATATAAATATATGTATATATATATATGTGTGTGATAGAAAATCAAAGAGAGTCATGCATACCTGGGGTTCCTGGGAGGTTTCTCTTCTTCTTTAGATGGGGAGGGTTGGATGCACCAGTTGGGTTTTGAACAAAACCCATTGGAATTGCTTCTTCTGCCATTTTTTCTAACATGTCTGCTCTTTCTTCAAAGTTTGGTTCAATCTACATAGAAAACCAAGTAAAGTAAGGGTGAGCTGGTAGAGTCGTACAAATATTGCATAGAAAAATTGTGGGGGGAAAAAAACAACAGATATAGATACCATTTGTATGTTATGATGTCAACCTAAACAACTGAGGCCAATATTTGGAGATTTCTCTCTCTCTCTCTCTCTCTCATCAAGGGGAGTATTAGGTAGTAGAGGTAGAATTAGGAGAAAACCACAGAGAATGAGTACCTTGATAAGGTCTCAACCTTAATAGGAAGAGCTGATAAATGGAGGGTTGGATCCCTATCTCTATGTCTATCTTTCTGCTTCTGGTGGGAATCAACAAACATAACATAATTATTTTTATTTTGAGGGATTGTAAAGGTGCTGAAAAGGAAAAATGATACGACTCTAAATGTTTTATTAATATTTTTATTAAATGTCTCATATTATATGAGTTCAAATAAATTTTACATGAGACATTTGATAAAAATATCAGTAAAACATTTAATTTCCTTAACATTACTTAGTTAAAAGTGAAAGTTGACGGAAGTGGGAGAGGAAGCTGGTGGCAAATACCCAAAGGTGCATGATGACACATATGATGAGGTCAATGCAAAGCTACTCTCCATATGCCTTTCCCATTGGAATGATTATCCCATAATTTGCTTGCATTCTATTTTTAATAATTTCCTACTATATATAATGCTCTCTTTTGTTGGAATCACCATATTTAAATATACTTTTCTTTGTGTAAATTAAATTAAATATTAACTTAGCTATCTGCAAGAACCCCACACCAATTTGTGTGCAAGTCTTGTTTAATAGCAACACATTCATGTTGTTATATTTTCCTCTTTTTTTTCTTTTTCTTTTTTTCTTTTTTTTCTTTTAGGTCAATGTATATATTGCATATATTTTTGCATTATATATACAGTTACTTGCAGATGTAGGTGGTTTGTTTTTGATACTTCATATTAAAATTCATGGTGGTCATTTTATACCATGTATAGAACTCCATTTGTATAAACCCACACATAAATGTGTTTTTGTGCTGTAGGTTCAAATTTTACTTTGGTCTTTGATTTTTAAATTTATTGTATTTTTAGTTAAGATGTAGTCCGATCTTAAAAAAATGAAAAAAAAAATTTTAAAAATTTAAGTTGTAGTGTGTCTCTTCAGTAGTTTGGTGTTGAACTCACTATCGAAAGTTATCGCGTGAACCTCACATGAGACATTATTTTGGGACAAAAATTTATTTATTTTATTTTAATTTTTCTACGATATTTTCTCAAAAAACCACAAGAGGTGCAGTAATGGCGTGAAGTGGTGAAAAGGAGTAGGCAATAGCCATGAGTGGTGGGGAAGGAGTAGGAGAGTGGCAAGGAAGGGTTGTTCAATGTTAATGGATTTAGAAAATATAATGAAGAAAAAAAGATAAAAAAGAAACTAAATTTTTGTCCTAAAACATGCATCAGGTGTTGTGTACGGGGGCGAAATATCCTCTACTTTCCTTACTCCTTGGAGTTCAAGCTTCACGTGACGGCATCTAACCTGGCAACACAGAGAATGGTGAGCTGCCCGACGGTGGTGTGCCGAATAGACCCTCCGACGATCAAGTCAGATCACTTGAGGAAGAAGCAGGCTATTCGAGAGAGAGAGGGTGTTTCAGATAGCGCAAGTTGCTTACCACTAACGTTCATCCTCCCTTCCTTTTTCTAGGCTGGCCATGCAGCCTCAGGACTGTGCGCGCACTACCTCTACTGTCCTTCCCTGGACAGTTGGTTGTGCTCGCCTCCCACCACCTTACACGTGTAAAGGCCAAATCCTCCATCCAGTACATGCAATACTGCCAAACGGTACTGACGCGTGCCTGGAGCAGATATCCTCTCCCTCACGCCATTGGCTCAAGTGGCACACCTGACCGGCATACCAAGACCGGCCTATTCTTTGGGAGAAAATCACAACCACAAAGAACACGACCGAGCTTCCGAGCTATCTGGTCGGGCGCACGCCGACCTCTTCCCGGCCTAGACTCTTTCCGGACTGTCATCTGCTCGGTTGCGCCGTGCTAACGCGCGCCTACCGCCGAACGCCTAACAGTCACAGCTCGGCCAGGCCTTAGATCATGCCTGGTCGGCAAACTTACGTCGGCCGTGTAAGACAGGCCGGAGGGCCGTGCCGATTGAGGAGATAGCTCGGCACCGAGAGGTTTGCCACACTTGCGTTGCCGTAGCTCGGCCGTACTGTCCGGTGCAAATCTACCCTCTCAATTGACCCCTAATCCCATCCGAGCTAATCGTGATTGGGGTTACCTCCATGACCGAGCTAACGGTCCCGGAGTTGCGCCAGTACCAAGCCGAGCGTGATTGGTTTTGAAGCCGTTACCGAGCTATCCTATTTGGTCGGTCATTGCTTCAGTAGTCTTGTCAATGGTCGTACAGCCGTACTAACAGAGTCGCCCTCGCGATGCCACGTGGCCTCACGCCATTGGTGACGTGCAGCCCTACAGCTGTCTTTTCGTGCGCGAAATTCAAATGATTGCTGTTCATTGGCTTTCCCACCACTTTTATACACATAAACGAGGGGTCAAACACCCCCCACTGTTCATCTCCAACCACGAGCCCCCAAACCCTAGCTCTCAAGACCTCCCAACTTCTGCCATTGCTGCCGTTGTTGCCCCTTTGGCTACTCTGCATTCGTTTTTGCTCCCTCAGGAGCTACAATCGAGCTCGTGATCGACTGATCCCTTCTTGGACTCCGTCGACGGTAAGCTCCTTCCCCCTTGTTCTTCATGTTCTTTACGTTTTCAAGCCTGTGTTCTTCATGTTTGTCATGCACTTTGTTTAGGGCAATAGTTGCATACTCTAGGAAAAACTAGAACTGGAATCGGAAAAGCAGATGGGGCTCCCATGCCCCTTGTTTCTTTGAGTAAAACGTATCAACTTTGAATCTAGGATGAACAACTTGAATCTGGGTAGGATCGAGCTAAATAGGTAACTTGGATCCATAAATAAAACTTTAGCCGAGCAAAGATCAGTTTGCGGCTTCCTGTTGAGGCCGCGACCGTGCTGGATATAGGGAGTCAGAACCGAACTAGGAAGGCCATATCGGCTGAATAGACGAGCCGAGATAGGGGGTAGACCGGCCACATATAACGGGGGATTTTGACCGAGCTAGGAGAACCAATAGGAGCCGTGCAATTTATGTCGCGCTAACCCTTGGGCTTATTTTTTAACAATGCAGAACTAGGACCGACCAGGCCCCTACAGCATTACCACTGGTGGAGCTCAAAGTTCGAGCAAATGCACCAGAATTTTCTGCCGAGATACAAATCAAACCACCAAATAAGTAAAACTGAGGTAGCTGGGGAAGTACCGGTTCATGGTGAGCTTGCCCGGTGCACTAGCTGAGTTTCGTAGGGAGTACAACATTCCAGACGATGTCCCTTTAAAGATAGCCAAGAAGGGAGATACCCCATGGGGTGACCTAGATCGGTGCCCCTTCACGGTCGTATCCATCGTGGAATGAGGGCTTTGCTTCCTGGTCCAACCCTTGATCTGCGAATTTTTTAGGCAGACAAGGCTTTGTCCGACCCAAGTCTCGAACAACACGTACAAGATAATAAACGGTGTGGCCAAGCTGAATAAGAGGCTCGGTCTCAATCTCGGTCTCGCCGAGATATTACATCAATATAGCCTTAGCAAAAATAAGGATGGGTTTTGCTGGTACCTGAAGGTCAAGAACGGCCGAGCAAAATTCATAGAGGGTAACCCAGATAAGGAGACAAACGACGATGACTTCTTGTGGGTGTCCGGTCGTTATGAGGACACCGAGGCGCCCATACCGGGCTGGTATATTAGGAAAGATTTTGGCAGTGCTGGTGAGTAGCTCGACAAATTGCACTACTTTCTTTTTGCACTGATTTTCTTCTTGCCGATCTAACACTTGTCCTCCTTTTTGCAGATTACAAGCTCTTGGCCGACGACTACTCCCGAGCTAATCAAGAGGCCATCAGAGTTCTGCTTCGTCATCCGGCCGAGGAAAGGGTGTCTCCAAAACTCCTCGGCTTCGAACCGACCTACCACTACACAGCACCGCGCAAGAGCAAGGTGACTGACTTTCTTCGTACGCCCTCTCCAGAACCAGATCCAAATCTCCCAGCGATCAAACTTGTTCCCCTCACCACCGAACAAGAAATGGCAAAAAATCGGGCAATCAAATCAATGATCACCAGAGAACCGAGCGACTCCCAGCCACCTGAGGTATCTGGGGGAACTTCCTCCACTCCATCCGAGCAAAGGGAGGGGGCTGTGCTGGCTCTTGTAAGCGAACATCCAACAGGCCGGTCGAAGAAGCGACCGAGAAAAGACCATACCGGGCAACAACTGGTCGACGAAGATTCAACCGAGCACGCATCCACCGAGTTGGGTGACCAGACCGAACAACTACTCAGCGGGCCATCCAAAACCCCAACGACCCCCCCGGTCTGGGCGCCCGAGATTAAATACAAAGGCCGGGCTGTCTCTGAGGCCGATTTAGTGTACGCGGACAAGGATTACTCCCTCGGTTTCAACATGACCAAAGGACTGATCCTTCCCGCCGACATGAAAAAGCACGACGAGCTGTCCGACCTGAAGGAGCTTCGCTCGGCGGCAAAATCGATCATTTGGTAAGTTTTCCACTCTTTTATCTGCAAGTTGTTGACCGGTTTTGCTCGATTTTCTGAATGCTTACAATCTTTCATTTGTTTTCAGGCCGCGCAAAAGAACTATTTAGCACACAATCGAATGATCGCAGTGCGGCAGAGCCTGCGAGATGCCATTGCTGAAAACAAGGCCAAAACGGCCGAAATAGCCAAGTTGAAGGCCGCGCAAGAGGCGACTGAGGCCGAGTGCGATACGCTAAGCCAGAAGTTGGGCCGGGCTGAAGAGGATAAACAGCGGGCCGTGAAGTCGATGAAGGCTCGGTACCTCGTCGAGCTGCACAAACTCTGCGATGCCCATAAGGAGGAGAAGGATAAGGCGGTTGACGCCGCCGAAGATCGGGGGTATGCGCAAGGCAAAAAAACTTACGAACGGCAGGTTCAGGCGACCAAGGACATCTTTTTCCAGTGCGGTTGGAAAGCTGCCGTGGAGAAAGTTGGCCTTGGTCAGGACGCGAAGATGTTCCAAAATCTGCCCGCTACCTTCATACCGCCTTACATGCAAGCCTATGCCAGCGCCGCACAAAAGAGGCTCATCGAAAAGGCGAAAAAGGCCGCCGAGGAAGAGGCTAAGAAAGCAGCCGAGGAATAGGCTGCCGCCGCGCAACCTACCGATCAAACTTTCCATGAGGCTTCT